GCCTCTGTTACTGCGCCACCCGAAAGGTTCGGATAGTTTTTGGCCTCGGGAGGCCATGTCCGGGTCCCAGGGCCGGCAAGAGACGGCTCGGGATGGACAGCAGGTTCCCGGGGCAGGGGTCGAGAAGCCGAAACACGTCGGAAACACAATGCAGTAATCATGAAATCCAATGACTAGTTGAATGTTTGTTTCAGGGAGCCTTTTGGGACCTAGCTGGAGGCTCTCCGGATATTGACTGGGGGTTATTTGGGGCTTCTCGAGAAGATCTTGGAGAATTTGGGAGTTTGGGAAGTGTCACGATCTTGGATCGTCATAGGGTAGCCACTTTCAACGATCCTCGCGGCCAGGGGGGAGGAGCTTGAACACTCCAGAAGCTAATCTGCAGTCTAACACGCCCCGACGTGTCGTGGGCCCGGTGGCGGATATCATGTTCATCGTGTCCGTGGAGGTGCTGGATAATGACCTTACTGGCCTACAGGTGGCTGCAAGAAGCCACCTCTGATGTGTATGTGATGGTTACGGTGATGTCAGATGAAGGCGTATGTCAATTAGCCCATCGTCTTGTGTCTAGTGGCATTACTCGTATTAGTAAAAGTACGTGAAGACATGCCGTCCGAGGATGCTACGACCCTCTTACCGGCATGCATGCACGCAACATCTGTACGGCCATATTGTGCTGACCCACTTCGCTGTGCGCTCAGACTCATTCGTAGTCTTCTCCGTCTGCAAATCGCCAATGCTTGGAGGTACACCTGGCATGCTTGTGTTGTCAATTATAGTACGAGGTGGTTGATCGATTGTGTGTGGACGCAGCGCCAGACGTTTGGCATCCAGAAGGCTGAAGTCCTCGTGCGAGGAATAGACTCGGTCAGCTGCGATGCAAGATCACTGGGTAACCCGCTCGGTTGAGCGGCCATCGACTCTGATACGAGCGATCTTGCTGTCGTAGCAAATCTACTCGTCATCGTTGATGTGGAATGCCGATCTGCATGTATGCTCTAAGGTCAGCCTAGGTGCGCCCGAAGGTGACATGACGGTAGTAGGTAAAGGTGGTCAGCTTGCATTAGTACATCCGTAATGGGAACACTTTTATGCATGCATGGGCGTGTGCGTGCAACTAGGTGCACACTGAACGTGTCAGAGACGGTACCGTTTGGTAAGCTCGAGGCGGTTTCCGACCACGCTTTCCATTGCTGACCTGCGCTGGGGAAAACCATATCCAATCATCCATTCGACCAGTCCAGTAAGTCGGCTGGAAGCAATGGGCTGCATGGTTCCCGCAATAGTATTGTCGCCCGCTCGAGAATACTCAGTTAGATATCGAATCGCGCACCTCTCTTTCTCTTCAGCAGCGCCTCGCTCACCGTGTGTGGTACAAGCCAAACTTGCCATGGGTGCATCGGAATCCAGTTGCCTGCGGCAAGCCCCGCCACCGTGCCAGCCCAGCATCTTGGATGGCTACCTGTTCGAGGGGAGCACATGAGGCCGTAAAGGGCCAGCTCGTATCCCGTGCCTTGGTAGAAGAGCCGTGACATGTGGCACACTCCGCGTCGTGTCGGGGGTTCTCGTTTTTGTCGTCTCCGTCCTGTTCTTCCGCCCTTTATTGGGCTCCAGTGGGGCAGTCTTGGGGGTCCCCTTTGCCACGTTGGGCCGTCTTGGAGCCAGCCCCCTTGGGCCATCTCGGGGCTCTCTTGGGCATGTGCTGGGGTCCTGCGGCAGACGGCGATGGGCCTGCGGGACGTTTCTGAAGGGCCAACATCACGCGTTTTACGAGATGTCACGCTAAGCCCCCGTGAACAAGTCACACGGAGCGGCGGATCGACGAGCTGCACGTTCTGCCGCCAACGTTGTTTCGCGGAGTCGACGAGCATCCGCTTCTAATTGGATTGAATGACTGGACTGGTCATACCCGTTGGGCGGCCTCTTCATTCTCGGCCGAACAGTACGCAACCAGAGGCGCAACCAGCAGAAGGCCGCTTTATTCTCGGCGGACGAGTGCCCAACCTATTGCGCAACCATTCGCAGAACTTTCTATTCTGCGACGCCGAGTGCATAATCTATTGCGCCACCCATGGATGGAGCATGCATGGCGCAACCCAACGCGGAAGCCGTGGATGGCGCAACACATCGATCGCGCATTCTATCGCGCAACCCAGGCTAGAGTTTGGAGGCGCGAGATGTTGGAGGCTGAAGGGCCAGGAGACGTCTCCAACCGCTCCCCATTTCCCCTCGGGAGCCCCGAGAGGCACGCCAGACAAGCTACGAAGCAGCGGCAGGCAAACGCACGAGGATGTCTGTGGCATAACTTTGCGCGCGGGCGGTCGAGACGACGGCAGGCGACAGACCACGGCAGGACGCCTGGCAGACCACGACAGGGAAGTGACAATGTGACAGTGGCAGGCAGCTGCAGAGGGCGGCGACCCCTATCGCAAGCGTGGGGCGGCTCGGTTCGATGACAAGGTCGTGCGGGTCCGCCCCGGCTCGCCCAGACCTGGGTTCC